ATATATACATATATTTATATATACATATATATGCACATGTGTATTATCTGCTGGGATTATTTCCTGTTGTATTACTCCTCCTCATCCACTGTACTTTTTCAGTAGTCTTTAGCGAGTAGCATATGAATGTGTGTGCTTATTCACGACAACGATTCAACGATTTGGCGAGGTGCTTAGCAGTTAGCACTCCTCCTTAACTCACTCCTATTCTCAGAGCTCGTATCAACTCGTTAGTGATTCGTTTCGTGTCAAGTTATTCGAGATTTTAAGTTTTGAAGGCAAGGCACTAGGCCCTACCTGATCCCTCCCTGAGAGTCTCTAGTAAACTTCCCCTTAGTAGTTCATCGTTAGCGTACGGTAGAAGATTATCAATGGCAAAGTTAGCCGTTGTGGCCATGTCGAGGTCAGCAAATCCAGTCTTTTCTGGCCAAATGACCACATGTGATGTACAAACGCGTGTAAAGTTCATCGGCATATTTATTTGGCCTAGTGATAGCATTTTTTCGATGATCCGGTCTAAACGTTTCGGGCAATGTGTTAAATCTCTTTATTTCCTCTACTCTCCCTCTCTCTCTTATCCAACCGTTATTGAGTACGTACGACTCATGGTATGCGTCATGAATGTTTGTGGTGTACATTCGTTTCGGGGAATTTCATCATTGTACCTTACCTGAGTGTGAAATACAGCTTTTGTCTTCACGATGATACGAGTGTCACCACAAATTGTTACCATTCTTTCTTTCTATACATGTATCTGTCTATATACTGAATTATTTCGGTTGGGTCGCTGACGTGTATGTTTGAATCACGCGGGAATTCAAACTATCAGTCAGCTCTTTGTATATTGTACAATCCGTTTCCTCTTTGTCGTCTCTTTCCGCGGGACCTAGCTTCTTTATGTGTTGTTGTTCCCTGTTAAAAAATGAAGAAAGCGAACTGGAAATAAACGATTGTGATTTGCTCTGTTTGTTTGTCATTTCAGTGATATTTGGAAATGAAAAAATTGCACATTGCAAAAAGTCATAGGTGCTAACGTATTTTGGGGGGGCTCGCGGCGAGTGATGACTCATCGACTCTTCTGCTCCCTCCTCGACAAAGTAAAAGTAACCTAACCTAATGTTTAACACGTTGACGACGAGCCGTTTTTTTCATGAATTGCCCGTGGGACGGGACATTTTTCTTCGTAGAAACTTAGTAATTTTTGGATAAATGAATGGCTACGGTCAAAGTATTTCAAGAAATGCAGAAGGTGAGAATACGAATCTCGATCTTCGACACAATTTAGCTTTTATTGCTCCAGTCTTTCAGAAATCAGTCCAGTTTTTACCAAGTTTTTCTCTGGGAGCAAATTTGGACTGAAAATTTGTCTCCTGGGTAGTTTGACCTCCTGAAGACGAATATTACATCCCCTTGGCCCAAAACTGCTTGGCGCGCGCAATAGGCGCTACGTTGACGAAAGTTTTTCGCCATTTCTTTCATGACTTGTGCCCCTAACTGTCTGGCGCCGGCGCCTGTGGCGCGGGCGCCAGGCGGTTTTGTGGCAATATGGTTGTGAAATTCGTGTTCACGGCATCAAACTACCCCAGGAGACAAGTTTTCAACCCAATTTGGTGATTTACGGTATTTTGGCGCCGGCGCCAGGTAGTCCGCGCCAAGCAGCTGTGGTATTCATTTCAGAGGTACAAGCTACCCCAGGGACACGTTTACGACGAACTTGGCCGTTCATCTTTATTCTTAGAAAATATACTGGCAGACACCATTGTCTGCCGTCGTCCACAACGTGTTAAGATATGGATATAACACCGTCCTAGCTATATTTGAAAGCTTAAGCAGTTAACGCTGAAAAGTGCGAAGAAACAGTTGTAGGATGGAAGATTTTGCCTAAACTACCAACGATTGTTGCCTTTTTTGTTGACCGTTATTCTTGACTACAAAAGATCAAACATTTGTTGTTCTCAGCTTCTGTGGGATTTCTCAGCAAGTATTCGGTGAATCTTGTTTGTTTTATTCTAATTTTGCTGCTAGATTAGCGCTCTAAGTATGTCAATGAGTGAAGAGCCGATGAGTCATCACTCGCCGCGAGCCGCGTGGCCCCTCCCAACTACGTTAGCACCGAGTCATATGCTAGGGACTTGCGTTGAGCTAGCGTTTCGAGGTTGCAGCCTTCAGTCTGCACTTTGAAAGTCTTATAGAAAACTGAGCCTGCAGAGATTACTCCAGTTTTGAAAGAAAAAATTCAAAGGGGATAATAGGGCTATGAAGGCATTGTACATCGTGGGTAACAGAATTCAAAAATAGATGTGCATTGTTCTAGTTGATTTGATACTGAAGGAGAAAATGAAAAACCGCCCCTCGTTACGGCCTTTCTTCTTGCACTCGGCCATGATTGCAGGACGAGTGTCAGATAGTCAAGATTAATAGTGAGATGCAGAAGATGACGATACACTGCAAAGTGCGGAGGGAGAGACCAGAAACTGACGGACAAGGAGGCACAGCAGTATTACGACAACACGGGATGAAGGCCGGCATGGGCCGTAACCCGGTAAACTTCCTATACTCGCTGGCTGCTTGCCAATTTCCAAATTTTTAATGTTGTGCACCTCTTCTATCGCGTATCGGATCAATTGTACATTTAAGAGTCTTTGGCCTTTGTTTGTCGCCTGCAGTGCCTTTGAGTGTGATCCACTTGAGGAGGGTAATCTCACTTCTTTCGAGTTATGAATCACAGTTCAGGAATGTGACGCTCACAAGGAAAGAAGCGACATACAGCTAGCTCGACTGTTCAGCTACCAGAATCAGTTCTTTGCAGAACTGCGCGGAATTGAAAGGTGACTAATAAGAGCATACTGCTTCGATTCTGCTCACATATTCAATAATAAGAAGTAATCTCCAGAAAGAGCGTACAGCCTCAGAGACTTCATTACTGCGTAAAGAAAAGACCGATCTGGTGAAGGGAGTATTCAGATTAGCACAAATGAATGGTGAATCATTTCATCAAAAATTCCTGCTAGTGAAGAGAAAGGTGACTGCATTTGACTTCTGCGCGAGGGACGGGAATTTCCATTCGTGTTCATGTTTGTTATAACAAGCGAACTTATCGCTCTATGCGCTCATGTGGGAAGAAAACGTCTTCATAGTAGAGAAAGTTGTTAATCTTACCCTTCTAATGTTCCAAAGCAGGTTCTGAAGCCTTGTCACTACATTTGGCTGGGAAAACCACTGCTCAAAATGGGTAATGAGAGCACTGCAGCGTCCAAGGCTCTGGTGACGTTGATGACAGTTTTGGAACGCAGTATCAAATAAGAGCCTCCAAAGCCGATATCGCCTTTCTAGTATGAGCACAATGACCAAGAAAACTTTAAGGATATGTTGTGGCTGTGAATCATGCAGGTGTTGCTCAGTGATTGTTTTACCTCATAAATTTCATAAGAGGTTTCAGTGTGAGATGGCAATTCTTGGAGATACGAAGCCATTTCATCAAAACAGCTAGTGAAGTAACACGACGTTCTGCAGTAAAAATGTGGATGGAAACCCGCTGAAGGATTCTGGAATGAGAAGTTTGTTCCCGAGCCCTGTGGGATAGTCCAAATATCTGTGAAAACCTGCAGTTCGTCTTGAGGCATTCAAGTCCATACAATTCAATGAGAAAAGAAGTCGAAAGTGTTGCGCGGAAACGAAGAGCAGTTGAAAA